GGGCCACGCCCACCAGCCCCTCCTTGCCACCTGCAGAGGCCCTGAGAGGGGCCCTGGTGTCCCCCCCAGGAAGGCAGCCCGGCTGGAGTGGGGAATCTGCAGTCACAGCGAGGACAGAGGACGCTGGCCTGAGGACTGGTGACCTGCCTGGGCAGGGAGGCCTCGCCAGGTCTGGGGGCTGGAGGGCAGCTTGGCTGTGTCTTGGCACCAGCCCCACTCAGTGTGGCCCTGGGCGAGCAGGGACAGAGAGGGTGGCCTCTCGCTTCAGAAGGCCTGAGTACAACTGGAGACCAACGGTCTCTGTGCCTGCAGGAGCGGCGTGGGACCCTGGGGACGGGGGTGGAGGGGTGGGGGGCGCCACCTCTGTCCTCACAGTCTCATCCATTCACTCCCAGAGCAGGGAGCCCCCGCCCGAGTGGGTAGAGAGGAGAAGGGGACAGGGCACCTGCCCCTGCAGACTTGGCTTCCCTGACACCAGAAAGTGCCCTGGGGGCTGGCCTGGGGGGATCTCTCCAATGCCACAATGAGTCCCCTAGGAGGTGACACCGAAAAAGATAGCAGACCCCTTCTGACAGACCCCTATCTTGTCCAGCACAGGGTGGGTGGGGTGGGGGCAGCCTGGACAGCTAGCTGCCCGCAGACTTTGGAAATTAAGGGCATTTAGGGATCACCACGGCCACTCGGCCCAGGCACCGCGGCAGGCACCAGTGCCTGACCTCCCCAGCACCTTGACGTCCCCCTTCATAGGTGAGGAACAGGCACAGAGAGAGCGTGTGACTTTCCCAGGTCACAGAGCTGGGACTGCCTGCGGGCGGTCCTCTCCCAGGCCCTGAGCACACCGACCTCTTCCCTGAGGCCACCCCACTCTACAGGTGGGGACTCGGGGGCTGGGATTGCCTGGGCAGCTGGACTAGGGCTCAGAGGACACAGGACACGATCTGACACAGGACATGGGCCTGAACCCGCTCAGGGGTGTCCCTGGCCACCGTGAAGCCCAGCAGAGGGATGGGCACTGGCTCTCTTAGGCGGGGCGTCTTTGCCCCTCCCTGGCACAGCACAGCCCCACGGCCTGTCTGCAGCACCTGGGCCGCCTCCTGACGGGCCTGCAGAGTGCCGGAATGTTCCATGTGCAAAGAGCCGTTTTTGTGCGAGAAGTGAGGTTATTTTCAGCCTGTTGTCAGGCAGTTGTCAAAGACGTGCGACTGAAGGGCTCGCTGAGCCTGAGGGGCCTGCAATGGGGATGGGCGGGCGGGGACGGCCACAGAGGGCCACAGGGGCTGCCGGGGATACACACCCAGGGGCTGGCACCGTGCTGGGCGGGGGAGCCCCGGGGGCTGAGGGGCCAGGCTGGGAAGCGGGGGCCTCGGGGCTCACGAGGGGTCACCGGCTCCCTCTGGACACTCCCAGCCACAGGGCCTCCGTCTCCTCCTTCCTAATGCTCTCTCCTGTGTCCGTGGACGTGGGGCATCCCTGACCCAGAGGTGCTCAGCTGCCCACAGGGGTGGCCGGCGGCAGGACGGGTTCCCAGGGAGCTTCTAGACCCTCTCTGCTGCCCGCCGCCAGCCCTCCCCACCTGTCCGCCAGGACAAGTCCACGAGAAATGCAGCCCCGCGCCCTCTGCACGGTCACTGCAGGTGCCTGTGAAGGACTGCGTGGGACAAGGGGAAGAGCACAGCGTCCTGGCACATGGGCGGGGAGCAGGGAGAGCCGGCTCCTCCAGACCCCGGGCTCAGCAGTGACCCCACAGAGCCCTGCGGCTGGCCTCAGGGAACTCCAGACAGGTCCTGGACCCCCCCTGGGGCGAGGTACTGGGAGAGGGCTCTAGAGGTGGGAGTCCCGGGGAGGGGCTGTCCAGTGTCACCCTGACTCTGAACCCCAGCGTGGCTGTCCCCGGGGAGACGGTTAGGGAGCCCTGGGGTCCTGCCCCAGCCTCTGCTCACTGCCCGGCTTCCACGGCAGCCCGGCTCGACCCTGGGATCTGGAGGGCGCGGGGCCCAGTGGACAAGCTCGTGCTGGGGACAGGGCAGGCGGCTCCCCTCCCGCAGCAGCTGAGGCCTGACCAGCGCTCAAGTGCTTACTCACGCAGAGCCCACCCCCCTGACCCCCCGGCCACACAGGCAGGCCGGCAGGTGCCCTGGCAGGCCCAGTAGCCTTGTGTGTTGGGTGGACTCTGCCTTCTGTGCCTGGTTGGCCACCAAGTTAGTTGAGGACAGGGGGCCAGCGGTGGGCCATGGCCTGTGGTCTGGAGCCAAGGGGCAGGGCGCTCATGCATGGGCCCAGAGCCACGTCACCTCCGAGCAGGGAGGCTGTGCCTGCTCGACATCCAGGGCCGTGTGCGTGGGCGGTAAGTCCCCGTCGCTGGGGAGGCCAGGTGGCCAGGAGGGTGGCACAGATGGACGACTCACGGCTTCTTGGGGCTCACACGGGACCCCAGAGCAGGCTGCAAGTGCGTCTGATGGGGTCCCAGCTCCAAGCTCCACGAGTGACTCGCTCGGCTTCCTGAAGGTGTGGGTGGGACGTGACCTCCGCCTCTGGACAGAGCTGCAGGTGCTCAGAGGAGGGATCTCTGGCATGGGGCTCTCAGGGGTCTGTTGTCGTTTGTCCAGAGCCTGCTTGTGTCCCCTGCCCAGCACCATGACACCTGAGGAGGAGACAGGCCTGGGTGCCCCTGGGCCTTCCTAGTACATGGTCCCCAACCCGAGGGGCACAGGAGAGTGAGGGGTCTGGGGAGGCAGAGGGCACGGGATAGAGCGGGGCCTCCCTCCCTGCTGCCCAGCCACTGCTGGACCCACCCGGCTCTGCTGGGGACGCTCCTCTTCTTCCCGCTGGGCAGCCTAGGTCCCAGCTCTCGCCCACCATGGGAAATGCCCCAGAGGAGCGGCCACTCCACGCAGGTGCTGGGCACTGAGACTCTGGGGGCCACGTGTGGGGCTGCGCCATGCTGCTGAGTTCTGGTTCTGCCCCAGTGGGCCTGATCTCGGTCCTGCGGGTGTCTTCCTCCCCAGCACGTTGCCTGCCTTCTCCACAAGGTGAAGGAGGCCCCGGGGAGTCTGCATCGGCCTGACCTCCACCCAAGGTCAGAGCAGCTGGCAGGGCTGCGAAGCGGGCAGGACCCCGCCAGCCTGTGGCACGAGGGCTGGCCTCTGGCTCTGCCAGCCTGGGAGAGTGCACGCTCTCTGCGCCACGCTGGTGGCACAGACGGCAGTGCCAGAGCAGTGACGGCAGGGAACTTGGCTTGGGATGGACCGAGCACGGGCAGATGGAGGGCATCGGGCATCTCTGGATATCCCAGAGAGTCTCCTCGGCCCACGTGGCTGGCACCTGAGTGGCTGGACCCCCACCTCCGCAGAGGAGTCCCTCGGTACAGAGGAGTCCCTCTGTGACATGGCCACCCTGGAGCCCTGGCCAGCGTACCCTACCCCAGAGACAGCCATCAGCTCCTCCCAGGTGGGACAGAGCAGCTGTGTCACTGTGGGTGACCCCATGCGTCTGACTGAGGTTCTGGGAGCTGGTGGCCTCGTCCCAAGGCCCAAAGAGGTGCATGAGGTGTGCGGGCCTGTGGGTGGCGTCCCGTCTGGAAGGTGGCTTCCTCCCGCGCGTCTCGGAGCCTGTTTCGCCTGGATTCTGAGACGCGGGGCGGTCTGACATGAGCGGTCTGAATGTTCAGCTGCCTGGAGGCACACACCCAGCAGACCTGGCACCGTCTCTGCCCCCGGAACCCGGGGTCTGTGTGGCACAGCCTCAGCCTCCTGCTGCAGGCTGCCTGCCTTCCCTCCTTCACAGCGTTTGTGTGGAAGTGCGTCGGCCATATGGAATTCAACTCCCGCCTTCCAATTGGTCTTCTCCCATTTCTTCTCTCTCTCTCTCTCTCTCTCTCTTCTTTTTTTAAGATTCGGAAGCAGTTCTCTTAGCAACCACAGAACGCACCCTTAATCACAGCCCGGGCAGCAGATGTGCCGGTGCCAGAGCCCTGCCCCCGGGACGTTCCACTGAGCCTCCTCGGGCCCTGCTCCTGGTGTAGGGGAAACTCGTGTCCCACCTGCGCCGAGGGCTGCAGAGCGCAGCCCTGTCTTTGGGTTGCTGGGGCAGAACTTCCTTAGGTGGCCTTTGGGGATCCTGGCTGCTTTGTCAGGACCTCTGTTGGCATGCAAATGTAGAGACTCCGGGAGGTGGCTGTGAAAAGCTGCTGTCCCCGCTGCCTGGGGGGATCCACCCCGGTGCTCTGCAATCTCATTGTTTTATCATCCCTCTTGAAAAAAAAAAAAAAAAAAAAAGCAGGAGGGGGCGGACTCTTGCTTCTTCCAGGGTCATTACCACAACGTGAGCTCAGTGAGCTCTCGTGAGCTCGCGTCTGATTCTCTCAAAGGGAAATATAGGTCGCGTTCAGAATCCCAGATGCCGGCATGACTGCCGGGCGCTCCTGGGTCTGCTGGGCGCCCTCGCTGGCGCCTGGATGTTTGCTTCCCTGACTTTCTTACCACATCTGCGAGCTGGCAAACAGACTTGGCTTTTTCTTTTAAATTTTGTTTTTTTTTAAAAAAAAAAAATAGAAAAGCACAGTGCATTATATTTAGCCGCAGGCGCACGGAGCACCAGCCCGGGTTTCCTTGGATAACTGGGGCTGGAGCTCACAGATACCTCCCAGCGTCTCCTGGCCGCCAGCTCGCCCGCCCGCCCGCCGTTAACCCTGTGCGGTGCCGCTCCTCAGCGCCCAGCTCAGCTCACATGACGAACGCCACCAGAGGTAGCCGGCTCTGAGAGCAGCCCCATCAACGACAGTTGGTTCCCAGCTGACAGACAGAATATGGGGTGGGCTTTGTCACCAGCACGCTGGGTCTGGCATGCCCAGCGATGCTCCGGAGCGCACAGTGCCCAGACGCCCGCCGCCACTCCCAGGGTCCCAGCCGCTCCAGCACAGAGGGGCTGGGCTGCGCGCCTAGCCTTCCTCCCCTCCGAGAAGGTTATATAATGAGCGGACCACTGCCAAAGTCGGAGGGAAAATGAAGTCTTTGTTAAATGCCTTCACAAAGAAGGAAGGTAAGGAGGGGGCTGCCGGGAGCGTCGGGCCAGGGACCAGCAGCCTTCGGGTCCGGGGACGGGGACTTCCAGTTCCTCCCAGGACCACGGTGCTTAGTCGAGTCGGGCAAGGGCATCTTTGTGGTGTGCGATACCGTTCGGCTCTGGTTGGTCTGGGAGATGGTCACGGTTGAAGGTGCCCTTTTATTCGACTGGTTTCTAAGCCACCGGCCTTTGCAGAACCACGTTCCGGAATGTCCACCCATGGTGACTGTGCCCGAGGGGGCTCGTTAAGAACTAAGTCCTAGGAAAATCAGGGAAGTTGTGAGTCTAGGCTGCCCGTTACCTGAGGGCTGCTGAGCACCTGCCGAGGGAGGTCAGGGCACATGGCCGCTGCCCCAGATGGGCAGGTGCTTCAAAGCCACTCCCCAGCTCCCCTTGGCCGCCCCGGCTGGCAATTTCATGGAGTGGATGGAGAAGCCTCGTGGCGGACTTTAAAAGTGCATACGGTCTTTGTCATTCCTTGTGGGGCTTTTTTATTGTGGGGGAAAAGGTATAAATAAATGCATGTAAGACGGCTAAGAAAATATCCACCCACCCGGAGTTTGCAGATTGCCTGAAAGAAGAAACAGTTGGGTGGAATATTAATCATTTTCAGACAGGAAAAGAGTTATTTTTAACCCTTTTCACAAAAAAAACCATCATTTCCATGGATAGTACCAGTCAGTTTTGTCAGACAGGGAGCTCTCGTCCTTAGGAAATCAGAAGGTTTCTGCAGAGGTTACTTTAAAGGAATGAGGGAGGTCCTCCCCAGCCCCGGCTCCTCCTATAACCAGCACTGGGGAAATCTCGGTGCTCGGGAAGCTAATTTAGTGGGAATCTTGGTAATCAAGCAAGGTGATTTTCATTAAAACGCTCGCCCTAATGTCACCTAGGTGATTCCATTTGAGTAACTTGCCTGGTCTTGGGGGAAGATGTATAGGAAAATGTCCCGGCCGTTCCAATCCGCAACCCCCCTCCTCCCCCTGGGCCGGCTCCCCCTGCAGACCCATTCCTGGGAATCTATTCGAAAGCAGCCTTTGCTTATGTTCATCAAAATTCACCTGCTGGGACTTGAGCCGTGGGCTCCATGGAGAATGGGAGGATCTCAGCCCGGGGGCGATGGTGGCAGGTGACTTCTGCCTCTGTCCCGTGTCTCCCCTGGACTCTTCCTTCCTGAGGAGTTGATCTGGGCCCCTGCCGGCCTCCCCCGGATCCATGGCTTTTGCAGGAGGGGTGCTCAGACCTTACCCGTCCTGGGTCACAGGGGGTCACGGACGGCCTTGCCGGGCACGGCTGCGAGCTCTCCTGCTCCCGAGGCCAGGCAGGGTCCTGTACGTGGCGAGCGCCCAGGGTCCGCCCAGAAGCCCGGACCCCGCTGTGTCTGCTTGAGCTTGTGGTCTTGCAGCCAACAGGGTCGCGTGGCCCTCATCCCAGGGGTGACAGGTGGCCCTGTCTGAGGCTGCAGGACCTTCGCCCCCCGCATGGTCCTTCACCCCACCCCGGGTCTGGCATCTGAGGTCCCTAAAGCTCCAGCGCCACTCCTCCTGCAGCACCTCGACCGTGGACTCTGGTGTCTCAGCCTCTGCCTGCTCAGGGCCAGAAGGCCAGTGTGGTCTCCCTCCGTCCTGAGAAGCACCCCCTGGGTGGCCTGGCCCAGCTGTGACCCTTCTCCTAGAGGCTGCTGCAGGACCCAGGCCCAGCCGCCCAGAGCAGCCAGCCGCCCAGAGCAGCCAGCCTGTCCCTCCTGCGCCTCCAGCCGGCCTGGCTGACCGTTGTGGGCTCCTTCACTGGGAAAAGTAGGGGTGGGCCTGAGGTCCCCGGGGGCCTGCTGCCCCGACGTCTTCCTCCCACAGAGGGCTTCCCCCACGGGCAGGGGCCCGAGGCACCAGGCTGCCTGCGTGGGAGACCCTGACCCTGACTGGCCCCCACCCTCCCACTGTACTGAACCAGGACACCGAGTCCAGCCTGTGACCCCAGGGAGCTTGCTGCCATTCTGTGCAGTGTGCTGGTTTGTCCCAATTCTGTTTCCCAGGCACTTCCCAGCGTCCTGGGAGGCAGGAGGGTGCACTGGGCCACACCTCTCTCACCTGTCCCAGGAGAGACCTGCCAGCCCACCTCTGTGCCCGGGGGGCTCCACCAGGGCCAGGAACCCTACCAGGGCCACCTCTGTCCCCCATGAACTCTACCAGGGCCACCTCTGTCTCCTGTGGGGTCTGAGAGGGCTCCCCTGTCTCCCTTGACCTCTTCCAGGGCCACTTCTGTCCACTGTGACTCTGCCAGGGCCACCTCTCTCCCCTGTGGGCTCTGCCAGGGCCACATGTGTCCCCTCTGAGCTCTGCCAGAGCCTCCTTTATCCCCATGAGATTTTCCAGTCCCACCTCTGTCCCTCTGAGCTCTGCCAGGGCCACCTCTGTTCCCTTGAACTCTGTCAAGGCCACCTCTGTCCCCTGTGACCCCTGCGAGGGACTGTCCACTAGCCCTGCAATAGGCACAACCACCCTCGGTTCCTCTGCTGGGCCTCATGGTGTTCTCTGGCCTTGAGCACCAGGGGCAGATGTCCAGCCTGTCCTTGGCCATCCATGGTACACGTCTCCTTTAGGACATGAAGGTCCCGTCCCTGGGTGGGCTCCCTGGAGGACTGTGTGGCCTCTTGCTTCACAGCTCTGGGTCGGCCCAACAGCAGTGCTGGCCTTTGGCAGTGCAGACCCCATGGGAGTACAGAGCCTGCCGCGGACATTGGCCAGCTGGGATGACACCCAGCATCCTTGGCCTCTCAGGGGCTGGTGGCATATCTGTCCCCTGTTGCCTGGAGGGCCATTGTGGAAGGGCCAGCCCTCTGAGCACCAGGGCTGCTGCAGGGTGGACACAGCCCTTGGGCTCCCCAGGACAGCCGTCCCCTCCATGTCCCTGGGCACACTGGGCTCAGGCGGGTGAGGGCCTGGCCTCTTGCAGACATCCCAGAACCAGGCGAGGTGAGCCCCTGCTCTCGGCGCACAGGGCCCCAGCTTGATGGCTGAGGAAGGGCCCCTGTCGGGGCTGAAGGGTTGGACCGGAGCCTGGTTCGCTTGTCAGCGTCCCTGTGGCGAGGCCCTCGGGCCTGGGCCGAGTATAAAGAGCAGATGGTCTTTGTCTCAGATCCTGGGGACTGGAGTCCGGGATCCAGGTGTCCCGGGCTGGCTCCCCCAGGCATCTCTCCGCGGCTGGCAGACGGCGGTTCCTTCCTGTGTCCTCGCATGGCGTCCTCTGTGTGTCCGTGTCCCGGTCTCCTCTTACAAGAACACCACCCTGTGGGACGAGGGCCCGTGCTGGTGACCCATTTTAACGTCACTGCCTGGATGAGGGCCTCTCTCTAAAGCCGTCCCCTTCTGAGGCCCGGGGTTCGACCCCAGCCTGTGGACTTCGGGGGCAGGGATTCTTCCCACACAGAGGCCCACCTCGAGTCCTCAGGAGGGGACACAGCAGTGCTCAGGGTCCTAGCTGCCTGTTGGACGGGGCTCTGTCCCCACGTGTGTCTGAGCCAGCTGCCTCTTCCCAGGCTGTGGGAGGGGTGGGCGCTGGCGATGGAAGCTGGGACCCCGGTCCCTTCCATCTGGGCCTCGGCTGGAGCCTCGGGGCAGGGGAGGCCCCCTCTGCCGTCTCCACCCCTGCCTCCATGTCGGGGGTGAGTCCTGGCCTCTGGGAGCCCAGCCGGAGCCCGCAGAGAGCTCGGCCCGCCCTCGGGTCCCATGGGGGCTTGGATGCATGAGCCTGGCCTCCGGGGGCACCCCCTGGACGCACTCACCCACCTCTTTTCACTCTCTCCCGCCCAGTGCCCTTCCGAGAGGCCCCGGCCTACTCCAACCGCAGGCGGCGGCTCCCCAACACGCTGGCCGCCCCCCGGGTCCTGCTGCGCTCCAACAGCGACAACAACCTCCATGCCAGCGCACCCGACTGGGCCGTGTGCCCCACGGCCACCGCCCACCGCAGCCTCTCGCCCCAGCTGCTGCAGCAGATGCCCAGCAAGCCGGACGGCGTGGCGAAGAGCGTGGCCAGCTACGCCCCCGGGCCCCGCAGCCGCTCCCCGTCGCTCAACAGGCTGGGCGGTGCCGGCGAGGACGGCAAGAGGCCGCAGCCACACTGGCACGTGGGGTAAGGAGCAGCAGGGCCAGGCCTCGGGAGGGGACCTCGCGCCGAGGGGCCTCGCGCTTCCACCGCCCAGGGCTGGAGCCAGCGAGCCTGCTCCGCGGGGGCCTGTGGGCTGGGTGCGCCCTCCCGAGCCTCGCGCCCAGTGGGCAGCTCTGCAGGCCCAGGGCAGCTGGGAGGCTCTTGGGAGGAGCCAGGGCGGGGGTGCCAGCCTGGGCCTCCTTTCCCGCCCTTGCACACCCACCTCTTGGTCCCCAAAGTGAGACAGCAGGAGGGCAGGGGGCAGCAAGCGGGACCTGTCTGTCAGCCCAGCGCACCTGTCCTCGCAACGCCCCGCAGAGTGGCAGCGGAGCCCTGGCACAGGCCAGACCGAGGCTCAGAGGCCACCTCACACCCCAAGGGTGGCTCACCGTGTCCCCAGCAGCCGCAGGAATGGTCTTAGCCACAGGGTGCGACTGCCCAGTACAGCAGGGGCTCTCGGAGCCCCTGGGTCAGTCTCTGAGGCAGTCCAGGTGACAGGAGCCTCAGCCAGGACAGCAGCTAGGCCAAAGGGACCCTGTACTCTCTTGCCCCGGACATCCAGGGAGCTGCACTGGTGCCCAGCGCCAAGCCCTGGGCACAGTCGGCCTCGTCACCCCCCTTCCAAGACTCCTGGGCTTTAGGTTCCACTCACTGTTGGGGCCTCAAGGTCTGGGTCTGATGTTTGGGGACTCCAAGGGACAGCAATGTCGGTCACCGTCCCTGCCAACACCAGCTAGTGCTTGCTGAGACCCACAGCCAGCGCGGGGCCAGACCAGGTCCCGGGGTCAGGGCCTGGTGATGTGGAGTTCACATGGGTGTGGGCCCGTGGGCCTGGGTTTTCCTGCTGACGTTGGGTCTAGCACTTGGTGCTTGGTGCCTGGGGCCACCCGTAGCCCCTCCCTGGCTCCTCCCCGGCCTCCACTGCTGCCTGGGTTCCCCATTCTGACCACACCAAGTCTTTCTGGACGAGGTCCTGCCCTTGGGCCAGTCCTGAGCCACACAGCGCCCAGCCTGCAGCAGGGTGTGAATGAGGAGGGGACAGTGCCCTGTGGTCCGGTCCAGGAGGGAGCTATTGTCCTGGCTGACCTCAGGCCGGGGCTGGGGTCTAGGAGCTGGGCGCACTGTTGTGGGGATGGAACACAGGTCTCCCGGCCCCTCAGGGCCCAGCCTCTCACCTGTCCACCCAGTAGGCCCTGAGCTCCTCGCCCATCCGTCTGTCCAGCAGTCCCTGAGCTCCCAGCCCATCCGTCTGTCCAGCA